TCAAAAACTTGAAACCCAAGTTATTCTAGATGAGTCCACCATACCTACCTATATACGATATTACCCTACCGTCCTAAGTAAATTTGCATGTGCCATATCTAAAAACTTCAAATAAATATCCTTTTTGTGTGCCTGGATTGTTCATGGAACGACATGAGGTAGTCGGTATCTTCCATGCTAGGCGGGTTATTCTTAGGTTGAGTGTTCATTCACTTGGCATCGCATGAGAAAAGGGCGGTAATAGGGATGCTCAGTCCCAAATTGCAAAAAGAATTGATCTCTCAAATAATCAAACAAAAACTCCCAATGGAGTCATAACCTTTACTTTTCCGCTTGGGAACCGCCACTAGCGTGTTTAGCATGGAAGATATTAATAACTAATAGTCGTTAAGTAAATGAGAAGGGTGCATGTCTCAAAATTTCATTTACCTCTGTTTTAAAAAACTTGAGTTCTGGCACCCCTGCAAATCGCTGCTTCCCTCTGCGAAGGGACTATCTATTTACTTTTATGTTGTGTCATCATCTTCTCAAATAAGCGCCAGAACCTGAGAGCACTGTTGTCATGCTGATGCACTGTGTGTAGCTAATGTTTGGTGCATCATGAGTGGATCTTTTCTACCATGAATTACAATGTTTAATCTCTGCTTGAACTTTGGGGGTGCTCTTCATTTATGTTTTACGGCCTCAGGAAGGGCTAGCGAGATACCACTATTGTCATATTATATCATGGTTGTTTTGACAACGTGTTGCTGTTTGAGATATTTTATTGTTGCTCTCTAGTTGATTATGCCATTGATATGAGTTAATATAATTTTTAAGAGTTATTGTCGACATGGTTAGTTATGATTTGCTGAATACCTGGGTGTTGTTTAAGCTTATTTAAGAAACAAGAGCAAAAAGTTCATAAAAGTTTTTCTTTTTCAGTTTCAGTTTATCACTGAATTGCTTGAGGACAAGCAAAGGTTTAAGCTTGGGGGAGTTGATACGTCTCCAACGTATCTACTTTTCCAAACACTTTTTCTCTTGTTTTGGACTCTAATTTGCATGATTTGAATGAAACTAACCCCAAACTGACACTGTTTTTAGCAGAACTACCATGGTGTTGTTTTTGTGCAGAAATAAAAGTTCTCGGAATGGAACGAAACTTTGTGAGGATTTTTCTCGGAATGAACGAAACCTGAGGGGGGCACCTGGGTGGGAACAAGCCACCAGGGCACGCCTGCCCCCCAGGCACACCCCGATGGGTTGTACCCACCTGGTGGCCCGAATGACCCTGAAACCAACGCTATAAAATCACATTCTTCTAGAAAAAAATCAGGAAGAAAGAACTATCGCGTTTCATGAGACGAAGCCGCCACTGTCTCCTGTTCTTCATCGGGAGGCCAGATCTGGAGTCCGTTTGGGGCTTCGGAGAGGGGGATCTTTGATGTTTGTCATCACCAACACATCTCCATCGCCAATTCCATGATGCTCCCCACCGGGAGTGAGTAATTCCTTCGTAGGCTCGCTGGTCAGTGAGGCGTTGGATGAGATTCATCATGTAATCGAGTTAGTTTTGTTAGGGCATGATCCCTAGTATCCACTATGTTCTGAGATTGATGTTGCTATGACTTTGCCATGCTTAATGCTTGTCACTTTGGGCCCGGGTGCCATGATTTCAGATCTGAACCATTTATGTTATCACCATTATATCCATGTTCTAGATCCGATCTTGCAAGTTATAGTCACCTACTACGTGTTATGATCCGGCAACCCCAGAGTGACAATAGTCGGGACCACTCCCGGTGATGACCGTAGTTTGAGGAGTTCACGTATTCACCGTGTGCTAATGCTTTGTTCCGCTTCTCTATTAACAGGAGGCCTTAATATCCCTTAGTTTTCAATAGGACCCCGCTGCCACGGGAGGGTAGGACAAAAGATGTCATGCAAGTTCTTTCCATAAGCACGTATGACTATTTACGGAATACATGCCTACATTTTATTTATGAACCGGAGCTAGTGTCGTATCGCCCTAGGTTATAATTGTCTCATGATGAATATCATTCAATGAGTCACTGATCCAATGCCTACGAATTTATCTTATATTGTTTCTGCTAAGTTACTACTGCTACTGCTATCGTTACTGCTTCAAAATCACTGCTATCACTGTTACCCCGTTACTGTTGCTATTGCTGCTATCATCAAAACTATCATATTACTGTGCTACTAATCACTTTGCTGCAGATAATTAATCTCCAGGTGTGGTTGAATTGACAACTCAGCTGCTAATACCTTCAAATATTCTTTGGCTGCCCTGTGTCGAATCTATAAATTTGGGTTGAATACTCTACCCTCAAAAATTGTTGCGATCTCCTATACTTGTGGGTTATCAATGGCTTTTAGGCTACTAACTGGACAATCCTATGTAGATGACTTTTTGTGAAGTGTAGATACCGAGTGCAGCTAGATGCCATATTTTGTAAATAGTGGCAATATTGTGTAAGCTCGTGGATGTTGTCATGTATAAAGATGGTGGTTGAAATATATAATTTATGTCCTTTTCCGTCTTCAACTTTTTGGAGTGATCACGTACAATTATTATTAATATTTAGAATTCTATCATTCAATGCAATATTTGTAAATAATGAGGGGTATATGGACTAACGTCTGTGTTTGCTTGGGAATGGAACTAACCCAAAGGATGATGCTTACTCCCTAGTGGAACTAACCCAAAGGATGCTTACTCCTTAGTGGAACTAACCCAAAGGATACTTACTTTACAAGTCAGCAGACTTGCCACCTATTACCTATTTCCGCACAATGAAAATAAAACAATATCTAGGGTACTCTTTTGACACCGAAGAGAAACCGAGCTCCCCCAGTAATGGGCCCCTAGGAAAATTTCACTAGGGTAATACACTAGGGTAACTCCTCCCCCTAGCATCTTTGCCCCTTTGCTTAGGGTATCCGGCCCTAGGGCTATCTGCAGATTCTAGTAAGCATTGTGATTAACTCTAAACTCTCATCAAATGCTTTTGATAGTGAAGTTGATCATGCATATCTTTGAAATCTATCACCAAGTATTAATTCCAATGCCATTTCGTTCTCTTATAATTGGTATTCTTTCAATTAGTAGAATTGGTAGAGCATTTCCATTCCACATTTGCTTTAGGTTCCCTTTATCTCTAGGCAATAAACTTTTATTGTGATTCCCCGTGTCCCCGGTTTCCTTCTAGAAGTTCTTATTCTTCAAATGCATCGTTCTTCTCCTCTTTCATCCCTAATTAGTATGTGTTGAGGGTAGACATACTTTCTCATTTTGGTACTTGGTGCCATTGTGGAGAAATGTAGAGAGTTAGGTTGACTTGTGGGAAGTTTGCCTTCATGGGAGTTAGTTATCTGATTGCTTGTACTATCTATAATCTACTTGGGCGAGATAGACCTATGAGTATGAATGAATGTATACGTTATATGCTCAATGGTTTTGCTTGGTGCATATGTTAAACTATGTGAATTTCCATGTGTCGACATGAGACTTTGATGTAATATGGACAAAATGCATGGTTTGCGATACTTATGTGAATAATCATAGTTTATACGGTTTTTTTTTTCAAATTCTCTTGATGGATCTTGGAAGCGATATGCATGCATACTTACACTATGTCGTTTTTTAGTATCACATGGAATTCAAATGCATATACATAAGCGGAAACTTTGGACCCAATAAGTTAGGAACCAAAATGCACTATGTCTTAAGTACATTGGAGAAGCATTGGATGCTTAGCTCATTCATGAGGAACATGGTGACATCATATGCAAATAGCTTGTGGCCAAGCTAGACTGATTAGTTTATCTACTACTCCCTCCGTTCTGAATTACTTGTCGTACGTATGGATGTATCTAGATGTATTTTAGTTCTAGATACATCCATTTGATCAGAACATATTTTAGATGCATTATTTTTTAATTTCAATCATTAAATTCTATGATCAACGGAGCATATATTCAGCACACGTGCATGATTGTGGTAGCTTCATTTTCTACTGTTTAAACTATACTATACAATAACAGATTTTGATGTCTCTCAAATATTGTTTTCCTACTCAAATCTCGCTAAGCTCCCCCTTGGATGTCTCTCACTGTACAATTATTGTGGTAGACACTCTCACTGTACAATTATTCTGCTAGACATGTCTTATTATTTTTCAAGAAAAGGTGTATCCTTTTCTAAAAAAAGAAGAAAACTGGTGCATTTTTAACCACAGCCAATACGCCACGAGGTATCTCCTTTTGTTTTATTTTTACCCACAGAACATTTATGCACCTCAAACCTTCCTTTGTTATTTATAGGCCGAAGCCTGAAACAAACCACCTCCGGGTTTTGGTCATGTGCCCCCTTTCCACGGCCATTACCCATTCACCTCTCATTTTCTCCTGCAATTTTTTTTCTTCTTGCATTCTGTGCGCCTTCACATCCTTCTCAACCAGAGATTCAGTTGGGCGGATGGTGCAAGAAGCTTGGTGGCAATGAGGTATGGTTGATGGTTACTCGATTCTTGCCACAGAAATCCTTTTCCATGATCTACCCATTGATTTGGTTAGAGTGTGTTATGCTGGAAACAAGACATGACCAAAATCCGGAGGTGGTTTGTTTTTGATGAAACGAGACATCAAATGCAAACCTTACATGAGTCGATTATGCACTTATCAAGAAATGAGCAACGAAATACTTTTGCGGTTTGCATTTTGTTCCAGATTTTTCGGGCATCAGCTGCTTATGAAAATATGTTATACATAAATCTTATATATACTTGTGATCTTATCATAAGAGGTAAAATGTGATTATTATTTTTTTGCACAAAAGCTATGATGAGGCCTTGATAAGATAGAGAACAATGGAAGAGAATACATGAAATCTGTTGTTAAGACAATTTTGTTAATTCACAGAAGCCACACACATTTGATGTCCTTTGTTTTCCCTGTCTTCACATAGGGTGTCGATGGACTCATAAAGAACACACATGCTACAGAGATCTAAAACAACAGAAGCAAGTCATACAGAAGAAACAATAGACCTGAGGCAAACAATGGGTCTGTCGATCTCATACCCACCGGATGACTACTTGCCAGCAGATGATGACAACTCGGACAGGCTATTCGTCCGGTCCTTAAGCTTACACAACCTCGGCAGCCTTGAGACCCCTGATTCGCCACCGGAAATATCCGATGCCGTGAGCTCTACGAAGCCTGCAAGAAAAGGGTCCTTAAATGCCAGGAGAAAAGAGGGTCCTCCATTACATGTCGATACTACGAAACCCAGGGCGAGTCCTAAACCTGACACGGAATGTTGTACCCATAAGCACAACCACAGCCTTCCAAAATATGGCGCAAATTACCTGCCACCAAATTCTCCGGTGGTCGGGATGGTCAGCCCGCAGCACCAGGCCGCAGCAGTAAGGGTGCAGAAGGTATACAAGAGCTTCAGAACAAGACGGCAGCTTGCTGACTGCGCTGTTCTTGTCGAACAACGGTGGTATGTTACAATTTCATGTGCTTGTCGTCCATTGTTGTATTTGATACAGTGGCTCTTTGTCACTGGTGTAACGATGCCTGAAATTTGCGATGCCGAATTCAGGTGGAAGCTGCTCGATTTCGCACTGCTCAAGCAAAGTTCGGTGTCATTCTTCGAGGAAGAGAAGCCAGAGACTGCCCTCTCAAGATGGTCACGGGCCAGAATAAAGGCTGCCAAGGTATGTGTCACTTTAAGCTAACCATATTCTGCTGAAATGATGCTGTTTAGATTTTCTTAAGGACCATCAGCATATTGTAATATTGCTGAATACTGAATTCATATGGGTGGTGTTCCTTTGTTGTTACTTCAGGTAGGCAAAGGTTTGTCCAAGGATGAAAAGGCCCAGAAGCTCGCACTTCAGCATTGGCTAGAAGCAGTATGGCTCGGAAACATTCTCCTCAAACACTCTCCTATAATAGCATTGAACACATCAAACTCAAATTCCATAGTGTTTCATGGGCAGATTGACCCCCGGCATCGATACGGTCACAACCTCCACTACTATTACAAAAGCTGGCTTCACTGCGACAGTCAACAACCTTTCTTCTACTGGTACAGTTCATGCTGAACTCTGCATTATCTGTGAACTAGATCAACAAAAACAAGCTCACGATTTCTGAAATTCCGTTTGTGATAGGTTGGATGTGGGTGAAGGAAAAGAGATTAATCTTGAGGACCACTGCCCAAGATGGAAGCTGCTGCAGCAATGCATCAGGTATCTTGGCCCTGTAAGTTGCTGCGACCTGTAGAACAATCCAGCTGCAATCTCAAATTAGAAAATGTTAGTTAGTACTAGCGATCAAGAAAGGAAACAAAAAAACAGGGCATAAAATGTCACATATCTGAACATCGTGTTGTTTCTTTGTGCAGAAAGAGAGGGAGTTCTATGAGGTAAAAATTGAGAATAAGATTATGATGTACAAGCTGAGCTGCAAGATTGTCGACACGTCCGAGGGGCCCAAGGATGCAAAATGGATCTTTGTGTTGAGCACGACGAAAATTCTGTACATAGGCACGGTCAGAGAATAGTGGCAGTTGTCACTTGTCAGCAGTATTTCACTAATCTCTGAGTCAAAAAATTTACCTGTAACTGATGAAATAAGCACATTATTGCAGAAGAGCAAGGGAACATTTCAGCACTCCAGCTTCCTTGCCGGTGGAGCCACATCTGCTGCCGGGAGATTAGTCGTCGCGAACGGAATCCTAAAGGTGCCTGGATCTGCAGATTTCTACTCTTGTCACAGTTTCATGTTTGGAGTTCCAAGCTCACCTGTCTGATTCAGTTACCCTTCGTCTTCAGGCTGTGTGGCCTCATAGCGGGCACTACCGGCCCACGGAGGCGAACTTCCGGGAGTTCATGAAGTATCTCAGGAAGAGGAACGTCGATCTCACCGATGTGAAGGTGAGGATACCAAATCTGATCCTTTGGCTGCTAAAGAACAGTGGACATTATGTTGGTGTTTTTCTCTGATAGAAGGAACAATTTTTTTCTGTTGTCTGAATTGGTACAGTTGAGCCCAACAGAAGGCGAGGAGGACGAATGGCTGAGGAGCTGCCTCTCCCAGATGGATCTAACAACGGAGATCAGCACGCCGAAGAAGCAAGGAGACACCAGGGCCCAACTCCCTCGCGGTGACAAGAAGAAGATCAAACCGGCCGTGCCGGCCGCGCCACCTTCCACCAGCGGCGAGGCAGGCGCCGGCTCGCCGGGGATGAAGCGCTCCTCGTCGGGCACCCGGCTGCAGCGCAAGCGGCCGCCGAGGCTGACGGTGAACAAGAACCGTCTGGACAAGGGCGCGGCGGAGCAGGACGCCGGCACGTTCGGCGACCGGCTGGACTTCTGCAAGGCGAACCTCTTCACGGGGCGCAGCGCGGAGGGCGGGGAGGGGGGCGAGGAGCCGGCGGTGCCGCAGGAGAGGATCATGCACCGGATCAACTCCAAGATGGCGCACAATTCGTACCAGCTCGGGCAGCAGCTGTCGCTCCGGTGGACGACCGGCGCCGGCCCGCGGATCGGATGCGTGCGCGACTACCCGCCGGAGCTGCAGTTCCGGTCGCTGGAGCAGGTCAGCCTGTCCCCGCGCGCCGGCGCCGGCCCGCCCAGGCTCGGGGCGACCCCGCGGCAGAGGAGCCCGTGCACGCCGTCGCCCCTCGGCGCGCCCGGGACTCCCGCGGCGCCGCTGCTTCAGCACGGCGCGGCGTAGAGGAGAGCTGAGCGCGGAACGTGGTGGTGGGCTGGCTGGTTTGCCGCTCGTGGCCGCCTGCCACCTCGTGTGTTGGTTGAGAATGGCATTGCGCGCGGCGGCGCGGCACGGCAGGGCAAAAAGATTTGGGGGAACCCCCTCGTAGGTTTGTACAAGAGGGACGAACACAAATGATGGTCCTCGTTTGCGAGACACCACCGGATGACATTATACGAAACGGATTCGTTGTTTCTCAAATCGTCTTACTATTAGAACTCCCTCAGTAAATATCAGCACAGTTCTCACCTTCACACCAAATCAACGACACTTATTTTAAAACGGAGGAAGAATTTAATGTTTCCTCACTTTAAAAATTCTCGCTTCGCCTAAACCCGGGCAAACGTCGGGCCGGGCCGGGTTTCGGGCCGGGCTTATAAAAGCCCGACCTTCATTTCCCAAGCCCGAGCCCGGCCTGAAGCCCGAAATACTCCCTGTTTTCAAGCCCGAACCCGGCTCGAAGTCAAGCCCGAAGCCCAAAAGCCCGGCCCGAACGCTGTTTTTTAGTGTACGCACGTGCAAGCCCGGCCCGAAGCCCGAAAGCCCGGCCCGAAATACATAAAAAATGAAGCCCGAGCCCGGCCCGAACTATCTTCCGGGCTGCAAAACTAGACCCGAGCCCGGCCCGAACGTCAAGCCCGGCCCGGCCCGGCCCGGGTTTTTCGGGCCGGGCTCGGGCCGGGCTGCCCATGCCCGGGTTTAGCTTCGCCTTTCACTTAAGAAGAAATCGCCCATATAGTCCCGAATAAGTAAGCTTACCGGAACCGGTAGCCAGCGGTGAAGAATCGGCCGTTCGCTTGCTTCTCTCAGATTTGTGACAACCTTTTGCGTATGAAGTAAAAAATTGTTTTGCTATGCAATACAAACAATGGAGAAAGTAATACACTGGTGCATGTTAGGTTTGCGGCAGCTTTAGGTACGAGAGAAGGAATAAGGAAGTGGAGAAAAGGATGTGGACTAGGAGTACTCGGCGACGACACTCATTGGAATCTCACCTGCTGCTCTGCTGTCTAGGGATCGGTGCATAATTAGATGAAATAAATTGATGTTGTTTAATACACCCGTCTAGCGTAGATTGGCACGGTGCATACCTGTTTGTCGACAATAAGTTAGGCCCAAGCCTAGCAGGATTGTTTCTCAAGCAACATGCATGACTAGATCAGCTAAACGGAGGGGTAAATATCATGTGCTCCCAACAACTACATGCTCCTATGCTCCAATTTTTAAAAAATAATTACAAGACTTTTAAAAATTCTGAAAATAATTGTGAATGTTCACGAGACATAAGTCTACATCCTCTGAAAATTTCAGATTCAAACTCAAAATATGCATTGAGAAACAAAAAAGACAAACTTAATATGAATAGTATCACAAGAAGACAAAAGCTAAAATGGCACTATTCACATGAAGATTTCTCTTTTTCATTTCTCATTGTATATTTCGATTTTGGATTTGAAATTTTTAGATGATCTAAACACATGTCTTGTGAACATTCACAATTTTTTTCGGAATTTTCGGAAACATTTAAAAATATCATTTTAGACATTGGAGCATGGGAGCATGAAAGTGATAGGACTACTGGATATTTTCCCCTACACAGAGAATGCGTATGTTAGTGCAACTTGCTGCTGGATAGAACATTGGAGTCTGTTCTGGACGCGGATCCTCTGCCGTGCGGCAGGGTGCCGTACGGCGATTGACAGGTGGGCTCGCTGTGAATCAGCCCCACATGTTAGTGTCCCCAACGGCGTGTAACGTACGTCAGGGGAGCTGCTTCCGTCTGTTCTCCCCCAAGAGAAAAAAGCTCCATACGCAGTCATTGAATGCTGACATGAGAAGCGACTTTTTGACGCTTCATTGATTGATGCGTGTAACCGTGGATGGAGTAAATGGCTAGTGGGTGAAAATGTGTTGTGTGGGAAAAAGTATATAGTGCGGTAGAAAGAGAAAAATTACCGTGCATTATGAGAATCAAAGTGTTTATGAAATGCTGGTGCATAATTCCTTAGGCTAGTCCCAGTGCTCCAGCCTGGATCGGTGCTAAGTCTGCTAGCTGAGCAAAAAGATGATGTGTCACGGTAATTAATGAGGAGAGAGTCTCGTTCAGTAACCCCGCGAGGAAACGGTGCCAGACGCAGTTACCTAGGCAAAAGGTTGACTTAATCGATCCTGTGCGGCTGGTACCGAGCCGTCGCCTCCCTTTTTCTCGTTCCTCCCTGAGGGAGTCCTGGATTAGGGGGTGCCCGGATAGCCGGACTACCATCATCAGCCGAACTATCATCGGCCGGACTATCATCATCGGCCGGACTCCAAGACTATGAAGATACAAGATTGAAGACTTCGTCCCGTGTCCGGATGGGACTTTCCTTGGCGTGGAAGGCAAGCTTGGCGATACGGATACGTAGATCTCCTACCATTGTAACCGACTCTATGTAACCATAGCCCTCTCCGGTGTCTATATAAACCGGATGGCTCTAGTCCGTAGAACAACAACAACCATTACAATCATACCATAGGCTAGCTTCTAGGGTTTAGCCTCCTTGATCTCGTGGTAGATCCACTCTTGTAAACATCCACAATATCAATATCAATCAAGCAGGACTTAGGGTTTTACCTCCATCAAGAGGGCCCGAACCTGGGTAAAACATCGTGTCCCTTGTCTCCTGTTACCATCCGCCTAGACGCACAGTTCGGGACCCCTACCCGAGATCCGCCGGTTTTGACACCGACATTGGTGCTTTCATTGAGAGTTCCTCTATGTCGTCACCGATAGGCTTGATGGCCTCTTCAATCGACAACGACGCAGTTCTGGGTGAGACTTTTCTCCCCGGACAGATCTTCGTATTCGGTGGCTTCGCACTGCGGGCCAACTCACTTGGCCATCTGGAGCAGATCGAAAGCTATGCCCCTGGCCGTCAGGTCAGGTTTGGAAGCCTAAACTTCACGGCCGATATCCACGGGGACTTGATCTTCGATGGATCTGAGCCACAACCGAGCGTGCCGCGCTGTCACGATGGGCACGACCTAACTCTGCCGCCGGACAGCACCTTGGAGGCCGCACACGAATCCGCTCCGACCCATAGTCCGGAGCCGATCGCTCAGATCGAGGACGGATGGCTGGACACCGCCTCGGGAGCTGCAACTTCTACGGCGATGGAGCCGAACACTTACCTTGTCCCGCATAAAGCTCATGACTCCGAGGTGCCGGACTCTCTGCTGGACTCCGAACCTCCTGCGCCCCTGCTAGTCGAATCCGATTGGGCGTCGATCATGGAATTCACCGCTGCGGACACTTTTCAGCACTCAGCCTTCGGCGATATCTTAAATTCGCTGAAGCGTCTCTCACTATCCGGAGAGCCCTGGCCGAACTACGGCCAGGATGGTCGGGACGCGGACAATGAAGAAATTCAAAGCCCACCCACCACCCACTTCGTAGCCACCGTCGACGATCTAACCGACGTGCTAAACTACGACTCTGAAGACATCAACGGTATGGACGACGATGCCGGAGACGATCAAGAACCAGCGCCTACAGGGCACTGGAAGGCCACCTCGTCACATGACATACATATGGTGGACACCCCAAGGGGAAGCGATACCGAGGAACAACGGGACGCGGCCGAGGATAATCCCGCCGATAAACAACCAAAACGGCGACGTAGACGCCGCCCTAAGTCCTGCCTCGATCAAAGCAACATTCCTAACGACCCAGCGATAGAACAGGGCAAACCAGCGGACGACGAACATACAACCAAGCAACCATCCGAACAGGACGAACCGGATAATCAACCCCTTCACGGAGCAATCAACAGTCCGGACACACCACCGGAGCATAAGAACCTTCACAAAAGACTCGTCGCCACTGCAAGAAGTTTGAAGAAGGAAAAAAGGAAGCTCAAAACAGCGGAAGACATACTCAGAATGAAGTGGAGCAAAATACTCAAGTCCGCAGACAAATATGGCAATGGCCATCAAACAAAGAGCTACCCGAAGCGCAAGCTGCTGCCAGAATTTGACGAGGAAGCCATAGAGCCCTCAGAGTCAAAAAATAAAGAGGCCGCCCGGCCGGATAGACGGCCAGATGACAGGCCAAAAGCGACAAGCGGCACCGCACACAAGCCGACTTATGATCCTGGGAAAACGGACGGCCCAACTAGGTCCATCTACGGGCCAAAAAGGAGGGCCCCAGGAAGTAACACAACACGACAAGTGTTCGAAGATAGCGGCACACCCAAATACAGGGGCGCCGCACACCCGCTATGTTTTACCGATGAGGTGCTGGATCATGAATTTCCAGCAGGGTTCAAACCCATAAACATAGAGGCATACGACGGCACAACAGACCCAGGAGTCTGGATAGAAGATTACATACTACACATACACATGGCTAGAGGAGATGATCTCCACGCCATAAAATACCTACCCCTCAAGCTCAAAGGGCCAGCTCGGCATTGGCTCAAAAGCCTCCCAGAAAACACTGTTGGAAGTTGGGAAGAGCTTGAGGACGCGTTTAGAGCAAATTTTCAAGGGACTTATGTCCGCCCTCCAGATGCAGACGACCTGAGTCATATAATCTAACAGCCCGGAGAGTCAGCGCGCAAATTCTGGAACAGGTTCCTTACCAAAAAGAACCAAATAGTCGACTGTCCGAACGCGGAAGCCTTAGCAGCTTTTAAACACAATGTCCGAGACGAATGGCTCGCCAGACACCTCGGCCAAGAGAAGCCAAGAACAATGGCCGCGCTAACAAGCCTCATGACGCGCTTTTGTGCGGGAGAAGACAGCTGGCTAGCAAGATGCAGCACCAGCGACCTGAGTACATCCGAGATCAGAGATGGAAACGGAAAATCACGGCGAGGAAAGATCAGCGCCGGAATAAAGGAAAAAGCCCAAAGGGCACGGCGGTCAACACCGGATTCAAAAGCTCGCGGCCAAACAATAAAACACTGCCTCTTAAGGACAAC